CAGCGCTGCCGCCAGCACGAAAACAATTGCAAGTCGTAAGTATCGCGTGGAATAAAGAGTATAAAAGGGAGGACGTCAAATAACTTTTGAATCCGGTCCTTCTCGCTCGCTCCGTCGGCCGCGCCGCGCTGCCGCTCCCTCTCTCGGGTGGGTGTAGTACGTTTTATTGGCCAGATTGCACAACGGGGCGAGCCCACGGCTACCAGCCGCCCCGCCCCGACCCCCGCCCCTGGATAGAGCCACGGGCCGGCAGGCCGAGCTCCGAGCCCCACCGACCCCATAAATTTCGCGTGATATTGCTGCTGCTGCTGCTCCGCTCTCCGCCCCGGCGGAGAGTTATCCGTTTACAAAGCTCTGGAATACTTGAGCCGGCCGGCCCCGGCGGCTTAGGGGAGGCAGCAGCAGCAGCAGCACACTGCCGAGCGGGCAGCAAGGGGGCGCGCGCGAGTTCACATGTACGCGCCACTTGTACGTACGCGCAAGTGCCAAAACGGCCGGGCCCCGCCCGCCCCCGCCACGCCACCCGACCTGCCCTCGTCAAGCCCCGCGAGATAGAGCGACATTGTAAAGTCGCTTTTATCCGTCGACATCAGCCTTGTGGCGGGCCCAGTGAGTGCTGTCCAGCAGCGGCACAACGCGACATACGCGAAAGAGCTCGCAACGAGCACCCCCTTTTCAATTCCGAGTCATTCTCGTCAACTTTGGGATCGTTCAGAAAATACGTCCGCTTTTCTCAGATTCATTCGGCATAGTACTGGAGCTTTAGCGCCTGCGAGACTCCGTGTAGGCTACCCTGCAGTACACGCATGCACTGCAGGCAAGATGTTGCCTACCTATCAGGCACTATGAGCGCTTGCATCGGCTGGACTTGACGGACGTTCTTTCTGGATGGTCCCTTTCGCAGCAGATCTAATTTTTATGTTTCTTTAAAGTTTTGATGTTGCAAATTTTTGATCCAGTACCAATGCGGATGAATATCGCAAAAAAAAGTCAACTCCCAGGGCTTCACCTTAGGCCCACATTTCTCTCCACAACAAAACTAGATCGTCGGTTCGGTCGCATCGCGCGCGCGCGCTCACGCGTCAGTTTGTTTCGCTCTGTCACCTCGCCTTCTTCCCTCCGAGCAAGAAGGGGGGCTTTCACCA